TCATGGGACGCTGGACCCTGGGCAGCCTGGCCTGTGACGTCTGGCTGGCTGTGGATTATGTGGCCAGCAATGCCTCCGTCATGAACCTGCTGGTCATCAGCTTCGACCGCTTCTACTCCATCACCAGACCGCTCACCTACCGGGCCAAGCGCACCACAGGCCGGGCAGCCGCAGCCATCGGCCTGGCCTGGGCCGTGTCCTTCATCCTGTGGGGGCCGGCCATCCTGTTCTGGCCCCATGTAGTGGGCAGGGCGTCACAGGACGCGGGTAAATGCTCTGTCCCGTTCCTGACCGAGCCTGCTCTCACATTCGGCACGGCCATTGCTGCCTTCTACCTTCCTGTCACCATCATGGGCATCCTGTACTGGAAGATCTACTGGGAGATCGAGAAGCGAGCCCAGGGTCTGGAGGGGCTAATGGGGTCTGGGAGCAGTGGAGGGCCCTCCCAGGCGTCTGTGGGAAGGTCTGTCTACTCCAGCAGCACCAAGAGCAGTGTCAGCAGCTCCAGAGAGGTGCCTGTGGGCAGGGAGCAGAGCAGTGAGGGGTCCCAGGGCTGCTTCCCTGTGAGAGAGGAGCCTAAACAGAGCAGTGGGAGGAGAATAGCAACATTGTCATTGTCTCCCACCAAGGGGGGCTACAGGGAGGGCTGCAGAGACAGCACCTGTAATGTAGATGAGGAAGAGCCTACGGTCTCACTCTCCTCCTCAGATGAAGAACTAGAGCAGAAGCAGCAGGGGGCGAGCGCTAAGACAAGCCCGAAAGCCATGATCCCACTCAGAGACATCCAGGGCAGGGACACTGTAGGGGCCAACAAACCCCTGACCTCTAGGGCAGAGGACAGTGCCGCAGGGCCACAGGGCAGGCAGTCCCCCCTAAAGGGCTCCACATCAGACTCCAGACGCTGCAAGCAGCCCAAAGCCAAGAGGAAGAACATGATCATCAGGGAGAAGAAGGCAGCCAGGACCCTGTGTGCCATCCTGCTGGCCTTCATCCTGACCTGGACACCCTACAACATCATGGTGCTGGTGTCCATCTTCTATTGCGTGCCTGAGACGCTGTGGCAGCTGGGCTACTGGCTATGCTACATCAACAGCACAGTCAACCCAGTCTGCTACGCCCTCTGCAACGAGCACTTCAGAGTCACCTTCAAGACATTGCTGCTCTGCCGCCCGGGACAGAGGAACTGGGGAAGGGCTTATAATGTCAACCATGCCTCGTTCAGGACACACAAGACCAGCAGTACTGTCTGAACTTTTTCAAAGCTAGACACTACCCTCTAGCTTAAGAGTCAGACCTGCCCTAATTAAAGACAGGCCAAGCACTTGCAGGGGGACAATTCTATAGAAGGCAGAGGAATTGCTTTTTGACTGTTAGATAACTAAAAGGAACTAACATGCTAAATATGATGTGCATTGACATTCTTAAGTCAATAGCAGAAAACCTACCCAGGGTATTGCCTAAAAGTACAGTCTTTCTTAAGAACATTACATACATCTATGATAATCATGCAGTCTTCCTTCCTCACCCTTCAGTTCCTCTCTATGGAGAAGTTGGTCTGCCCGTTTTGACTTCAGTCCAGAGCCCTTAGGAAATGGCTTCTGTTTATGACATGTTTATTGAAACAATAGGGTTATTAATTGGTCCATTTGCCTTAATGTTAAATCATCACCAAGAACAGGCTTTGTAATATAAAGGTAAACAATAATTAATTTCCAATGTTTTGGTTCCACGGACACAGATTTCATCACTGATACAATAGTGCTTCAAAGATCCTGTAAGTCGCTCTGGATAAGAGCGTCTGCTAAATGATGTAAATGTAAATGTAATCCTGAATGCCAATTGCTGTAATAGAGAAAAGAGGACATGGCACCAAATACAGTCAGTGCCAAATATTTTATTTTCCTGGAAAAAGACAAAACCTTCTACCATAAAGGAAACATTCATTCACAACTCAAATAAAGTCCCAAAACTGTTTTACATCAACTGAATCAATATAATTGCTGAATATGAAACCAAAACCGTAATGATCCAAATGGAAACTGCCTCTAAAACAAACATCCAAAAAAATGCATGAAATACTTGTTTAACACTTTAGTATTTGTTAGTTGGCTATTGATATAACATGATAGTATAGCTAAATTATATTACACAACTTCCTTACACTTTGATGAATTCAAATCTGAGTATACCATTAGCACACATGTGTGAGGGCACACATTATCATGCACTTGCTTGACTGTTTTTGCCTTTTTACCATGTCTGTCAATGTATCCTGTGTTTTTTTCAAGTTGAGATACAGTCATTTTAGCTAATTGTAATTTGTGTAATATGTGTGCCAGACCTGTGGAGAGCATTGCGCCCAGCTTTGGGGGAGAAGCACATATTGAGAAAATGCAAGGGAAAAAAACTGGTGTTCCCTTTACATGAAACAAAGAGAAGAAGTCAGACATGCAATTGATTCAGAAATGTGCCTTTAAGGTTCACCTTAGAATCCCTTTCTGCCCATCTTGCGAATAATAGAAATGTAGACCTATATATGACAATGTCAAATCATTTTTACTCCAAGGAAAATACTACAGTATAGCAAATCCAGGTGCACACACCAGTCTGCAGTTTGTGGTAACACACCACTGTCTGACTAGATCCTCTGATGGCTCCCCATCATCCCAATAATATTATTTCATCTCCCCACAGTCCCAGCAGCACTTGTATTGCTCATTACTGCCCTCCTGTGGCTATAAGTGTAGATCGTGACAGTCACGTGAGGCCCCAGTAGAGCAGGTTGGAGCAGGGTGGAGTGAGACATCCGAGCCGGTATGGGCAGGGAAACACAAAGTCCTGTGCTCGGTAGTTGTCTGTTTTTAAATGATCTCCCAACACATAACAACAATGGGTCAAAAAGGGGTCCAGGTCAGGACTACTGCTGCTACCTACTGCAGCTCTCCAGGACCAGTGTTGCCTACCAATGGAATAGGTCAATATTTTTGGTAAAAGGCTGGCTGTAGGCATAGGATACACTCAAATTCCCTTAATCACGCCAACCAGCAACCACTGATTCACTTTCCTTCAATGCAGCGAACACTCAATATCAATTCCTTAAACAGTTACGCCAATGTCCTGTTCCTCTCTCTGAGGTATAGAGATGGAAGTGTACTAAGTAATGGTAAGGCCCTCTCTATGCCCTGTGGTTTCCCAACTCTCAGTGTTGCCTCCACATCAGGAGATGGAGGATTTTTCATTGATATTGACGATGGGCATTACACAAAGATCATTTCAGAACCAACCTATTATTGCAGCTTTTAAATAATTCACACCTTTAATATGCTATAGAAATATAGAAATATACAAAACCTTAAACATTTTCTTATTATGAACAAGCATTGGCATGCTAATTGATTTCAACTATTTATTTCCTCTACACGCAAAACAGATATTTTGCAGAATAAAAGTAGGATCATTCGGAGCAGTCGTGTGCATGTACAGTGCATTCGGAAAGTATTCAGACCATTTCACTTTTTCCACATTTTGTAACGTTACAGCCTTATTCTAAAATGTATTCAATGGTATTTTTTCCCTCATCGATCTACACACAATATCCCATAATGACAAAGCAAAAACAGGTTTTTAGAAATAGGACATTTACATACGTATTCAGACCCTTTAACTCAGTACTTTGTTGAAGCACCTTTGGCAGTGATTACAGCCTAGAGTCTTCTTGGGTATGACGCTACAAGCTTGGCACACCTGTATTTGGGGAGTTTCTCCCATTCTTCTCTACAGATCCTCTCAAGCCATGTCAGGTTGGATGGGGAGCATCGCTGCACAGCTATTTTCAGGTCTCTCCAGAGATGTTCGATCGGGTTCAAGTCTGGGCTCTGGCTGGGCCACTTACGGACATTCAGAGACTTGTCCCGAAGCCACTCCTGTGTTGTCTTGGCTGTCTGCTTAGGGTCGTTGTCCTGTTGGAAGGTGAACCTTCGCCCCAGTCTGAGGTCCTGAGTGCTCTGGAGCAGGTTTTCATCAAGGGATCTTTGCTCCATTCATCTTTCCCTCGATCCCAGTCCTTGCCGCTGAAAACATCCCCACAGCATGATGCTGCCACCACTATGCTTCACCGTAGGGATGGTATTGGCCAGGTGATGAGTGGTGCCTGGTTTCATCCAGATGTGACGCTTGGCATTCAGGCCAAAGAGTTCAATCTTGGTTTCATCAGACCAGAGAATCTTGTTTCCCATGGTCTGAGAGTCCTTTAGGTGCCTTTTGGCAAACTCCAAGCAGCCTGTCATGTGCCTTTTACTGAGGAGTGGCTTCCGTCTGGCCACTCTGCCATAAAGGCCTGATTGGTGCTGCAGAGATGGCTGTCCTTCTGGAAGGTTCTCCAATCTCCACAGAGGAACTCTGGAGCTTTGTCAGAGTGACCATCGGGTTCCTGGTCACCTCCCTGACCAAGGCCCTTCTCCCCCGATTGCTCAGTTTGGCCGGGCGGCCAGCTCTAAGAAGATTCTTGGTGGTTCCAAACTTCTTCCATTTAAGAATGATGGAGGCCATTGTGTTTTTGGGGACCTTCAATGCTGCAGACATTTTTTGGTACCCTTCCCCAGATCTGTGCCTCGACACAATCCTGTCTCGGAGCTCTACGGACAATTCCTTCGACCTCATGGCTTGGTTTGTGCTCTGACATGCACTGTCAACTGTGGGACCTTATATAGACAGGTGTGTGCCTTTCATAATCATGTCCAATCAATTGAATTTACCACAGGTGGATTTCAATCAAGTTGAGGAACATCTCAAGCATGATCAATGGAAACAGGATGCACCTGAGCTCAATTTCGAGTCTCATAGCAAAGGGTCTGAATAAGGTATTTCAGTTCTTTATTTTTAATAAACTTGCAAAAATGTAGATTGATGAGGACGATTTATTTTTAATCAATTTTAGAATAAGGCTGTAACGTACCAAAATGTGGAAAGATTGAAGGGGTCTGAATACTTTCCGAATGCACTGTATGTGTGTCTGTATGTGAGATTGTGTGTACTTTGTGTTCAGGTATTTTGGCTGGTAAAAGCTGCGTTTGTGGTTTAAGCCACTTTTAAGGAAACATACTTGATGTATTGTCAAGTTCAGGGTATTGACACATTGAGTTTGATATATTGACAAATAGTTGAAAACAAAAGCCTATGGGTTACTTGAGCTTGGAACTGTGTAACAGTCATATAACAACCAAACCTAGGCGTGTTTCAGCAGGGGGCTGGTAAGGTACACTTCCCTTTTCACAGGTCATCTGTCCCACCCCATCCTCTCTGCTGACCACTGAGAGAGAACCTCACTGTGGATGGAGGGTTGTGTGTGTGAGGATGGGGGTCCATCACGACGGAGGGGCATTACGGGTCTGGTATATGGACGCCTTGTCTTTCAATAGGTCCAGACACAGATGGCAGCTCCAGCTCCCTGTTAGAGGACACAAGGAAACAGAGTGGTGAATGACTCACATACTTTTAGTCCAATAAATATGCTCTTTCTTCCATGGGGTCTAAAGGTAGAGGCTATTTTGTGCTCTAATACTTTGCACTGAATAAGCATTTCAAATGCTAGCAAAGTGCTGAAAGAGGTGATTCATCAGTAAAACACCTGGCCATGCTATCGTTGTCTGGCTACGCTGCCTGAGAGCTCTACTTGGACACTGCTCTGCCAAATGTACTGAGATAAATCTGTCTCCCTACGGAGAGAAAACCACAACACTCGTTACCAAAATGTCAAGAGCTGTTGACTCAAACCTCCCTTATTAGACAGGCAAATTGGGCAGTGGCTGTGAAAAAGCACATTTCAGCCAACATCATGGAACAGACACATCCACATGCACATCCTGCTCTTACCTTCTGGAGGTTCAGTCATAGGGGGGCTGAGACAGTACATGTGATAGCCTCTATCACAGTCATCACAGAACAGAAGCTGGTCCTGGACAAAAGACAACAGGCTCATTATACAATGCAGTTTTCAGTGTACCACCTTATTTCAAACATACAGTACACTTAATTTATCCCACAGTAATAAGTATGAAGCCTGCAGGTGAACTCACGTCATTCTCTGAGGTGCCACATATGTTGCAGCACTTGCACTCGATGCACTGCCAGCGGTAGGTCTTCACTGCAGCCATCATCACGGGGGTGAACTGCAGGCAGGATGGGTGGCCTGGGTTGGACACAGAGAGTGGGTCTCACAGGACAAACCCTGTCTGCCACTGTCATTACTACTGGTCTTTGGAACTATGCCATCATGCGTCTGAACACACTCAATACGGATCCTAAAGTAAAGTCTACCACTCACGCACGCTCATACAAATCGGCTCAAATGCCGAGGTTAGCCCCGTCTCTCAGGGTAAAGGCCAGGGGTGGAGTGGTTACCTGAACGTCCACAGTCTGAGCAGGACTGCAGCTCCTCTGACTGGCCCGTCTTCTGGTTGAGGGCAGAGTCTCCCAGGCAGAAGTCACAGTAGTTATTGGGTATCGCCAAACCATCTGGACCTTTCTTGGGTGCTGTGAGGGAGAGACACAGAATAAAACAATGTATAAGCATGCATTCAAAGGTTATTGATTAACAAGGGTCCGGAATCGCACAAGGATCCAGGGTCATTGGCCGTGTCAAAATACCTAAGTAGCAGGCATTTTAGGTATGCGAAAATAGGACGTTTTATAGTATGTGGAATTTTGAAAATCGAGTATGCTTTAAATGCCAGGATGTCATTTATACTCATTTCGGCTTTTCATCTAGTAAAATTTGCTGCACACTTTTGAGAAAGAGAATATTCTTTCCAGACTTGCGTGTGTTTGACAACAGCTGATAATGAGATAAGGGCACGCAATGTACCCAAATGAACGAATGGCGGGAATCAACACAATTGCGTATTAGAAGACGCATTCTCAGGATGGGAAAGCCTAGTATGTTGATAGTGGTTGCTTACTGCATTATTTTTTACTAAACAGTATGTTCTAAATAGTATGTAGTACGATTAATACACAGTATGTATTTTTAGTAAGTAGTAGGCAAGACAGCCATCGACTTACTACGGCTAACCAATGACCTATAAATGACCTCACTGGTCACCAATGACTGGTCACTTACTCTTTGGCTCCTCAGGCTGGGGCGGAGTGGGGGTGTGGACCTCAGGCTCCTCCTTGTCCTCTCCCTCCTCCTCAGCCAGGTGGGAGTGGGTGTAGTGGTAACTCAAGCCCGGACGGTTCTTGTAACGCTTCCCACAGACTGCCAGAGAAACCCCCAAACACAACACGTGTGAAAACAAAACATACGTAAACAATTAAGTAGCCTTCATACGAGGTCAGAGTACATTGTTTCCTAAATCGCTCGGATCTGACCTTGCCGTGACATTTACTGATGCTGAAAATCATATTCATGCACTCCTGTCCTCTGCAATGGCCTGCTGTTTGGTCCATCCTCCCACTTAGTCAACCAGTTTCAGCACGTCCACAACACTGCTGTCCACCTCTACCCTCTTAACCCCATCCTTCAGTCTGCACTGGCTCATCTTGGAAGAGTGATGAGAGCATATTTAGTTTCCAGACTTTTCAATTTGCACTCAATAGCTGGAGGCGATAGACCATCTGTGGCCCTGAATGACAATTGTGCAATTCAATTTCAACTGGAGCAGAGAAGGCTAGATCTGTTTCTTGGAAGGAATCTTTTCAGCAGACAAAACCCTACATTTTAGCTTGATGGAGTCTGTTTTAATAAATGGACCAAACAGCTTAGATTAGTACTAATAACTTTAATAAAGATGACCTCCTGTGCCAGACTAGAACTATGGTGCTTTGGGAATGGTATGGGGAGTCTAGACTAGCCTAATACCCAGGGTTATAAATAGCTGGATTTGTGGTGGGATTGTCAGAGTCATGGAAACAAAGATGTCAGTGTTTTACCCAAGCCTCAGGGCCTGTGTGAGGTCTAGCATAAGATGGACCAGCAGACCAAACACTTCCTCCCTACCTCTCTCCCACACTCTCTTAATCCTTCCACCCATGCAATCACCCTCTCTCATTTCTACAGCTGATACCTAGAGGTGCAAGATTACTGACTAGGTCAGCTCCCAGCCCCAGCTCCCTGCCCCTTTCGCAGCCCAGACTGCCACAAAGGTCATGGTGCAGAACCCAGGTTAGTATTCTTCTGGATGGACAAGGCTCTCAACAACATTCCTCCCCCCCCACAGGCATTGCATAGGCAGTCTCACACCAAGATCCACACAGCCCCAAGCTGGTGGTTCAAAACAAAAGCAGAGGCACTATTTTACTCTAAAGAAACAGGTGAGGAGGACGAGACAGGACAGGATGCAGATGAGATAAGAAAAAGTAATGGAGCTAAGAAATGCAAACGAGACATACTAAATTAAGAGACAAGACACAAAGCCCGATTATGACCAACATATCGCCAACAGTTCATTGGCTGTAGTGTATGTAATAGTAAGTGTGCAATACAGAGCCAATATATTCCTGAAGACAAACTACTGTTGAGTAGCCTAAATGTCATTTAGGATCAAATAATACAAATTGACACTGCTACTTAAACTGTGAGGTGGAAATTAAGCACAGAGAATGCATCTCTACACTACACATTCACAATCCACCCTATCAAGTTAACTTTGACTTCAAGTCAATTGAATTTTACCTTGAAAATGAGAGCCATTCAGTGGATGAGGGGGAGGCAGCAACATTTAGCCTAGTCTATGGGTTCTACTAACCTCAAAGTGTTCTACATTTTAGCCAACACACACACAGAGAGAGAAACAAACAGGCAGTAAGCAGACTGGACTGGAGGCAGAGGAAACAGGAATGACAGAAATGTACCTCGTCCAGAAGGTTTTGAAATATGCTTTTGTTTCAAAGTGTCTGAAAGAGAGAAAAGGGAGAGAGAGCATAGACTGAAAGACTCAGAGAAGTACGCTCACAGACTGACAGAGAATCAGAAAGGCATCAACAATGCACCCGAGTGTCTGAGTTTCAGCTGCAAGAGATGACAATTTCAGGAGCTAAAAACAACAGACTTCCCAGCAAGAGAGCTCCTAGGGAGTAGAGAGAGTAGCCCCCCCTGCAAAGCCCATCTGTACTCCCACTTTCCCCCTCCCAGGCTCTGCTGCACCCCCCTGGGACTCACTGTCACAGGAATAGGGCTTGTCCTTGTCATCCAGCGCAGCCGCCGCAGCATCCAGCTTCTTCTTGGCACTGCTCACTCCACGACCCTGTGGACAAACACGCCATCATAATACATCATCCTCATCCCTAATATCATAGGTACAGTCATGTTGCCGCATTGGACACCATTTCAGATGACATGCCCTTAACATTACTAACAATTATTTGTTTAGAATAGCTTCTCTCACCTTTCCCTTTCCTTTGCCTCTTCTTTTCGGGGTGTCCTCCTCATAGTCCTCATCTTCCAAGTCATCCAGGAAGTCATCTGGCTCCAGGACTCTCTGTATAGACAGAATAATGCATGTAACTGCAGTAGCTAATGTCATTGGAGGACTAATAAACAAGCTAGGTATCACACACGGTCCCTCCAACCACAGAAGGCTATGGTACCTTTCTGACACGTGCTGCAGGGGTGACTGCCCCTTCAGTGTAGTCTGCCAGACTGGACTCATCCTCAGGCCCTCGGAGCTCCGGAGGACCCCGCTTGTCCAGGGGTTCTCCCTTCAGAAGGGCCTCCAGACTGCTGCCATCAGATGATGACAGGGAATCCTTCTTCAACCCCAGGTCCAGCTCTACAGACAGGGAGAACCACAAACAACCTTTACAAATGAGTAAAGAACAAACAGAAAAATTGTGCAGAGGGGCACACAAACATGTCAACACAGCTTTAGTATTATTAAGATGAGCAGTATCCCATGATAAGGACGTACCTGACTTCAGAGGAGGGAAGACGAGCCGGGGATCTTCTGGGGGGTGGGCTCGTCGTTTCTTCCTCCACCTGCGGGATGGGTAGGTGTACAACTGTCCTGGGGCCACGCCTGAGAGAGGACAGATCGGGTGCTCACTAACATACAACTAAGACCCAACAGTGACAGTACGTACATATCCAAACCAGAAGCCATGGATTACAGGAAACATCCGCACTGAGCTAAAGGCTAGAGCTGCAGCTTTCAAGGAGCGGGTCACTAATCCGGACGCTTATAAGAAATCCCGCTACACCCTCCGACAAAACATCAAACAGGCAAAACGTCAATATAGGACTAAGATCAAATCCTACTACACCGGCTCTGACGCTCGTTGGATATGGCAGCGCTTGCAAACTATCACGGATTAGAAAGGGAAACCCAGCCGAGAGCTGCCCAGTGACGCGAGCCTACCAGACGAGCTAAATGCCTTCTATGCTTGCTCCGAGTCAAGCAACACTGAACCGTGGGTGAGAGCACCAGCTGTTCCCGACGACTGTATGATCACACTCTCCGTAGCCGATGTGAGTAAGACCTTTAAACAGGTTAACATTCACAAGGCCGCAGGGCCAGGCGGATTACCAGGACATGTACTCAGAGCATGCGCTGACCAGCTGGCAAGTATCTTCACTGACATTTTCAACCTCTCCCTGACCCAGTTTGTAATACCTACATGTTTCAAGCAGACCACCATAGTCCCTGTGCCCAAGAACGCCAAGGTAATCTTTCTAAATGACTACCGCCCCGTAACACTGACATCTGTAGCAATGAAATTATTTGAAAGGCTGGTCATGGCTCACATCTACACCATAATCCCAGAAATCCTGGACCCACTACAATACGCATACTGCACAAACAGATCCACAGATGACGCAATCTCTATTGCACTCCACACTGCCCTTTCCCACCTGGACAAAAGGAACACCTACGTGAGAATGCTGTTCATAGACTACCGCTCCACGTTCAACACCATAGTGCCCTCCAAGCTCATCACTAAGCTAAGGTCCCTGGGCTGAACACCTCCCTCTGCAACTGGAGCCTGGACTTCCTGATGGGCCGCCCCCAGGTGGTAAGGGTAGGCAACAACACATATGCCATGCTGACCCTCAACACGGGCGCCCCTCAAGGGTGTGTGCTTACTCCCCTCCTGTACTCCCTGTTCACCCACGACTCCCTACACCATTATCAAGTTTGTGGTGGTCCTGATCACCAACGACGATGAGACAGCCTATAGTGAGGACATCAGAAACCTTGCAGTGTGGTGCCAGGACAACAACCTATCCCTCAATGTGGGAAAGACAAAGGCGCTTATCGTGGGCTACAGGAAACGGAGGGCCGAACAAGCCCCCATTCACATCAACAGGGCTGTAGTGAAGCGGGTCGAGAGCTTTAAGTTCCTCTGTGTCCTATCATGGTTCAAACACACCAACATAGTCATGAAGAGGGCATGACAATGCCTCTTCACCCTCAGAAGGCTGAAAAGATTTGGCAAGGGCCCTCAGATCCTCAAAAAGAACCACTGAGAGCATCTTGACTGGCTGCATCACCGCGTGGTATGGCAACTGCTCGGCATCCGACCGCAAGGCACTACAGAGGGTAGTGCATACGGCCTAGTACATCACTGCGGCCAAACTCCCTGCCATCCAGGACCTCTATACCAGGCGGTGTCAGAGGAAGGTCCTAAAAATTGTCAAAGACACCAGCCACCCAAGTCATAGACTGTTCTTTCTGCTACCGCAATGCAGGCATTACCGGAGCCCTAATTCTGGGACCAAAAGGATCCTGAACATCTTCTACCCACAAGCTATAAGACTGCTTAATAGTTAAAGCTGCAATATGTAACTTTTTGGGCGACCAGACCAAATTCACATAGAAATGTGTGTTATAGATCTGTCATTCTCATTGAAAGCAAGTCTAAGACGCAGTAGATCTGTTCTATGTGCGCTATTACTATGCTTCCTGTTCTTAAGTTTCATTTTTGCATCTTTTACTTTCGGTTTTGTACAGCAGCTTCAAATAGCTGAAAATACAATATTTTTAGTTATGGAAAATATATTTGACAGCGATTTAGATGGTACAATGATTCTCTACACTATACTTGCTTGTTTGGTCACATAAACTGAAATTATTAGAATTGTAGCAACCAGGATTTGGCGGAGCGATTTCTGCAAGAGCATTTTTAACCAAATAGCTACCCGGACTATCTGCATTGACCCTTTTTGCACTAACTCTTTTTGACTTTATGCACACACACTGGAGTCCACCCACACACTCACACATACAGCGCATTCGGAAAGTATTCAGACCCCTTGACTTTTTCCAAATTGTTACATTACAGCCTTATTCTAAAATTGATTAAATTATTTTTTCCCCTCATCAATCGACACACAATACCCCATAATGACAAAGTGAAAAAAGTTTTTTAGAAATGTTTGCAAATGTATTAAAAATAAAACAATGAAATACCTTATTTACATAAGTATTCAGAACCTTTGCTATGAGATTCGAAATTGAGCTCAGGTGCATCCTGTTTTCATTGATCATCCTTGAGATGTTTCTACAACTTGATTGGAGTCCACCTGTGGTAAATTCAATTGATTGGACATGATTTGGTAAGGCACACACGTGTCTATATAAGGTCAAACAGCTGACAATGCATGTCAGAGCAAAAACCAAGCCATGAGGTCGAAGGAATTGTCCGTAGAGCTCCGAGACAGGATTGTGTCGAGGCACAGATCTGGGGAAGGGTACCAAAACATGTCTGTAGCATAGAAGGTCAAAAGAACATAGTGGACTCAATCATTCTTAAATGGAAGAAGTTTGGAACTACCAAGACTCTTCCTAGAGCTGGCCGCCCGGCCAAGCTGAGCAATCGGGGGAGAAGGGCCTTGGTCAGGGACGTGACCAAGAACCCGATGGTCAATGACAGAGCTCCCGAGTTCCACTGTGGAGATGGGAGAACCTTCCAGAAGGACAACCATCTCTGCAGCACTCCACCAATCAGGCCTTTATGTTAGAGTGGCCAGACAGAAGCCACAGAAGGACTCTCAGACCATGAGAAACAAGACTCTCTGGTCTGATTAAACCAAGATTGAACTATTTGGCCTGAATGCCAAGCGTCACGTCTGGAGGAAACCTGGCACCATCCCTACGGTGAAGCATGGTGGTGGCAGCATCATGCTGTGGGGATGTTTTTCAGCGGCAGGGACTGGGAGACTAGTCAAGATCGAGGTAAAGATGAACGGAGCAAAGTACAGAGAGATCCTTGATGAAAACCTGCTCCTGAGCTCTATTTTTTCTCTATACTTTTTTAAAATTGTATACTGCATTGTTGGGAAGGGCTCGTAAGTAAGCATTTCACTGTTAGTCTATAGCTGTTGTTTACGAAGCATGTGACAATTAAAATTTGATTTGAAGTGCACTTATAACTAAATACGTTCTAGACTTTAATGTGGACCTATCAAAAGGCATTAACTGTCACTTTACATCTAAAATACTTTGTTTAATGTTTCAGCTTACATAGGTGAACCGAAGTTCTCCTGAGGGCTTGAACTACAGGGCTCTCTTTTGTTCTCATCTCCAGAACATGAGAAGGTGATGAATGACACAGCCTACTACTCGAAGCTGTGAACTCAGTAGTTCTGAAAGCAAAATCATATGTGACTTCAGTTTGTGTGTATGTGTACTGTATCTCTAACCTGGTCCCCTGTGTCTCTTCTCCATCCAAATGTAACAGTTGCTCTGCGCCACTCCAGTCTGAGAGTCCAGGAAGGGCATTCGAACACTCCTCTCGGCACATAGCCGGGCGTTGTAGTTATGGCATTGCTCCATGGCGTCTCTGTAGTACTGCTCTCCCAGCCTGCACCCACACACAGAGAGGAGCAGCCAGGGACAAGTTAGCACTAGGAAACAGACTGCCTGTGTATACTGTGATAAGAATGATACATTCATACATTAGTTCAACAACTGACAGTACCTGGTGTGTATCTCTACCATAGGGGGTAGGTGTGGTATGTGGTCCTACCATCTCTTTAAGCCAAATCATGCTGTCTGAATTCTAGGCTACCTCTCTACTATGCTGTAAAAGAGGCTTAAAATAATTAACTTCAAAGCCTTTATCACAGCCTCAGCTAAAAACCTTTTTGTCACTTTTATCCTGGCACCTCGGTGCAGTAGGCAAGCAAACTATGTAATTGTGTCCCTGGACTGTGTCAGCAGGTGCTCTTTTGTTGGCTTGGCAACAGCGGTCTGCCTGGTATGGAGCGCAGACTCTGCTGGTTCAGATTTTCAACACGAATCATGAGTGAAACCCGTTTTTTTACTTACCTAAATGCTCTGTGGAGTGTCCTGAAAGCTTCGTAGTACTATCATCTTAAATCAATTTTAGGCAAAGTGATACAAAGGCTTCAGGAAAAGATGCCTAATAACTGTTCGTGTTAGAAACTACATTTGTTCCATGATAATTTTTTGAAATTGGTAGAATTTTGTCTTGAAGAAAACCACATCTAATTAATATTACCGAACTCCTTCGGCAAAAGTTATTTTTAACACTGCCCCAAGGACATTTCCTTTATAGTGACTAATGCATTGTGGTGACACATGGATTTCCTGTTGGAAAGCTCAACAAAACATGCATTCCACATAAAAGCATGCCAGGAACACATCTGCAGACGGTTTCAGCAGATAAATTCAGAACGCTGATTGTACAACAAGACCTGGACTAATTTCTAACTAGTAGGCCTAACGTTACATTCTAAAACAACAACAGCCTCTGTGCACTCCAACTAAGTAGCTAAACGTAACAACCAAGTTGCCAACTGGATATCCGCAAATCCCTATCCGCGTAATCCGACTAATTCCAAGGGGAGTTTGAAAACACATCCACGGTAAGAGTAAACTGGGATAGTGACACGCTAGCTATCTAGTTTACAATCATTTGGCTAGTTAGGTAGCAACATTAGCTAGCTACCACAATGACAGCAGTTCTTCATGTACATTTGTTAACTTGTGCCCGACGTTTGATTATATAATGGTGAGATTTGGTTCCTTTCAATGTGTTCATTAACAATTTAGTTTTAAAAAAAACTGTTGACATAGCTAATTGATGAGTGTTGACACACTGACTGACACAGCTTGCTAGCTAGCTGGGGTTTATTCATTACGGATAACGTTTACCATTTAAGAACCAAACGAGAGCAAATGAAACGGGGGAGGGACCTACCTGAATTTGTCCAATATAAACTCTCGTTTGCGTTTTCCGTTTGGAGTAAACGGTTACTGTTGCAACAGAGAAAACGTTTCGCAAGAGAATCGGCGTAATGATTACACTCCAGGCTAGCCATTTCCTACAGTCAGCAAAGCTCAACTACTCAGTTTGATAACTGAGTTACTCGGTTCCTTTACAGAACATCTTCGGCAATTTACCATAACATATAAATGTAAATGTTTGTGTTATCACCGACCTTTATTATATTTAAACGTAAAACACATCCGCGTACTTTAACTAGGTGGAAAAGAACAGTACTTACAGTTTCACAACATTTTCAACAACAGCCGCCATCTTGGTTTGCTTTGCCGTGGATAGTTTGCACCTGCGCAAGAGCGGGGGGTGGTAGTACAAAAGCCAGCTATGTGTTTTAGGCGCTATACAAATTCAGGCAACATGATTAAATCATGTCTTCATTACTTCCTTGGAAAATATATTATATGAGAATGTAATTGAGACTTTAGTGTTGCTATTATAACTGATTAATGTTCTACTTCTAGTGATATACAAAAATGTCCAGCAGATGGAGATGTAACCAAGTGGAAGGATGGGATCATTCTGGGCATGGATTTCAGGTAGCTCTTCTGACATGTAAACTGTCAAACTCACTGAATGCTACCCACTTTCAGCCCTGTCAGTGCCCCCCATATTGCAACTTTCAGGTTAAAACCTTTCCCTTACTCATGACAACCTCATCCCGCTATACCACCCCAGTGGAGGTCCAAACTCAGGCCTGGGCAGGCCTTTCCATCCTCCCTATCCCCTCAATACATCTCTGTATACCATGCTTCTAGACCTAGACAGACAGCTGGTGTTCCCAGCCAATGAGGGAGAAGGTGAAAAACAACACACTTGTTTGATTGTGAAACTTACCAGGGGTCTCCTTTGAATGTCACTGGTGTTTTTGTTTAGCAGTTACATAATTTACCCAGGCCAGTGAGGTGTTGAGTATGATTAATTTAGAGAGGAATATATTATTGAACCGCACAATCAACACAAGTACATTCTGGAGGTCACCTTGGAAATCTCCTGGCATGTCTTTGCTGGTGCACCAAGCGCTGTTTTTCGCTTTATCTCTAGAGAAACTGAAGAGCTTGTGTAGAAGATCTGGATTGGTGCATATAGGGATATCCAGGCATTCCCAGAATGGCACTAAAGTGGCCTGTTTGCTCCACTCCATCAAACCCAACTCCTCTCATTTTTTTTTTTTTTTTTAAGATGACAGTATAACGAAGGTCAAATAACATGTGACCATGTGATCCCTGCACTAGCCTATCTTTCCATCTCTGAAGTTCCTTGATGACCAGCTCAAAGAAATACATCTCAAGATGAAAACACACTTGAAACAGTGTTGTTTTTAACTTGTCTGCTTAACTATTTGCTCTGATCAGAAATACACCACTTGAGAGAAAAGGTTACAAATAAATATCTTTGGTCTCTCCCTCTCCTCACCTTCCCCAGCTGTTTCACCCCCCGTCTCCCTTCCCTCGGAGAGCCTCCCCCTTCAGGGCCCGTCTCAGTGGTGTTCCCAGGGCTATTCAAAAAACTGGATGGGCCATGGCAAAAGCACAACAGAAAAGACAAAACAAGGAATTCAATTTTATTCTAACCATAATATTGCATTTATTCCTTTACAGCTTGTAATCATTTTTGTGATGCCAGTAAATAATTTGTCCCAGCACGTAAAATACGCCAATTCGTAGCAGCACGATAAGTCATCATCAAACACATAATTATTGTGCAAAAATTGAAGATTAGCAAAGGTTATGATGTAATAGACGTCTACAAAACTTGGATAAGTTTGATGCCTATAGTTCCCTGCGTGTAGCCTTATATCTGGTGATTCCGATATTAGCAAAGCCAGTGCCATAACAACTATGATAAACGTAATGAAGAAGACAAATTCAGGAGTGTGTTTGGTTCTGTATGCTGCAACCCCTTTCTAAAACAACCAACAGCTACTTGGAGGTCAGGACAAGTAGATAGATACAATGTGAAACATGCCAAAATAACTTGAGTTCAATTACCGTAGGAGGCATACCATATATCACAGCTTAAAAAAGGAAGACCAAAGTATGTTCACATAAAGTCATTATGTACAGTATACGACTAACTAGATTGTAAAAATCATGATTAATAGCAGTTGGAGGAGCCAGGGAAGGTTATTAGTGTCAACATCAGTCCGTCAACAGTCCTCCACGATGCAGGAGAGGCTGGTGTACTGTACTGAGGGGCTGGCTGCATGTCTGTCAGCAGAGCTCCAGAGTAAACAGACACAGCCTTACGTAACACCATCCTGGCCTGGCCACGGTCAGCAGGACAGCTCCAGTGTCTGGACCAGGCTCGGGCTCAGGACAGACTCCGCTGCAGTAGATCCTCTCTCTCTGAGTTGAAGCATATGTCTATTAATACAGTCCTCTTCCCAACATGTCAGCTATGGAGTCCAAGTGCTTTTCCAGCTGATTTAGAAATCACTTAAACCATGCACAGGGTGGATTTTATGGAGTAATAACATTATATGTTGATAGATATGGCCTGATGAGTTGATATCCAAAAGTAAACATATAAATGATAGAGCAGTTTAAAAGGTGTAATTCATGGAACTATGCTGTTACAATGCTTGCCAACAGATTTATTGTAAATGTTAACATTTTATTGTGCAGGAATGGGTTTATAGTGCTTTAGTGAGTTTGTCAATGTAAAGTATCAAGAAATGTAATCTAATATGAGACTATAATTATATTGTTAAGCTTTATGCATAAATGTAGTCTGTTTTCCTACAATATGGTATCTCTGCTTGGTATAATGTCTTAACGGGGAATCCAACGTTTTGTGCCATTGGTCCATCCTCAAGGTAAACCTGACCATCATTGGTCCACCGTTATCAAAGAACCAATGTATGTTCTAAATTATATTATCTATTGTTTCACATCCAAAATATTTTCTACAATGTTTAAAGTGAATCCATGCACCTCTGGGTGCAAATAATCATGCATTTATTATTGGGTTTATGAAGAATCATAACCCATTATTATCCAGTTGATTGCTACATTCTAATTAATATAATATTGAAATTGAAAAATTGAAGCACATGGTGATCTGGCAACTCTACCTTGTATTGTATTAGTTTGTAATTTCCACTTAGAAATTTCAGACTTGAAAAATGTATCAACCCCTACAAGAATGTCCATGAATTATGATCCACATAATAATTCACATTTCCTGTTGCAGCAAATTGGCTCAAATTAAAATCCTATATCTGTATCTTTTAACAAGAATTCCAAATAACATTGGTAAAAGTCTGATTCTGAACTTCTCTGTGTTGTTACAGAGATAGTTTGAGCAACACAAGGAAACTTGGAGGGCTACAGCGGTGAGATAATCTCCTTATGAGCGGTCTCAGGTTGAGAATGAAAACGTAACACTACTCCAAACGTGTCCAACATCTCAATTACCAGAGCATGATGGCCAGTAAAAGCAGCTCTCTGTAGATCTGCTTGAAAGTCAACAGATATGGAACTGAACTCTCCAACACTCATTGTCTCTCCTGATACAAAGTTACAGCTTTCACATTCTTGCATTAAAAATAACAAAAGCTGGAAAATGAGACAGCTGACTCAGGGAGGTGACCTCCTCTACCACTCTGGCTCTTTGTCCTTGAAGATATGACACCCTCACTGTTGTATAGTTCATCTTTCCATAAATGTGTCTTTGATCATATGTCCCCAACCAAACCAAGTAGGGTCTGAATAGAATGTCAGTTCCAGAATAGCTTTGTAAGCTGGATAAATCTGTGTGACACAGACACCAAACTGTGATCTCAGGAGCACGGACAGTTGTCTACAGCTCAGGTGCAGTAAAAAAAAAAGATCAAACAGCAACCTTCAGGTTTTACAATACCATATCACTCCCACTGAGAAATATGATCCCAGTCAGATACATGCTGACCTCAGTTCCTGTCCAGCAGTATATTCTTTCACCAGTTTCTTCATATCCTCTTTGGAGGAAGGGTAGAGGAGATTTAACAGTGTCAGCTTTTGGCTCATGTCATGTCACTTAATTTCTTACTTACTATGTTAAGTAATTCACATGGAAAAGTGTAGAAAGATATTCAATATCAATTAAACAGCAACTGAAGTTAAGTTCCAGAAAAAAGCACTTCATATGAGCGTACTACTGTACAAACCCAGCCTTGTAATCCAGCAAGGCTTGGTTGAGGTCAGAACCTCCTCTTATACACTAAGAAGGTCAGTAAAGGGACAGAGGGCCGAGGGCTTCCCATGGTCAGGTGTAGAGCTCCTGCCGCGCTCCCTGCAGACAGGTTCCGTTGAAGCCACTGAGGCGCTGGCTGTCCATAATCTGCAGCACGTCGTCCAGGATGGAGGGGCCCAGGTCCAGGTGCAGGGAGAGCAGGGAGCCTGCGTGGGACAGGTAGGGGCGCTCCTGGCCCCCATCATCCAGATAGGGGTCCTGGATACACACATCCTCGTCTGATGACAACCTGGGGGAGGGCGGGCAGAACTGGGACGTCCTGCTGGGAGACTGTGCCGAGGGAGAAGAGGAGTCCAGGCCTGGGTGATGGGACATCAGGATCTTGTCATCCAGGTGCAGTCGGGGAGGTTTGGGTGGAGGGGGCGCGTTCTGAGGCGGATGGGGGCGGGTGGAAGAGGGTGCAAAGGTGACTGGTAGGGTGATGGCCTGCACTCCTTCGATGACTGGCAGAGAGAGGGCGTTCTTCAGCAGGGGGGAGCTCTCTGAGGAGGCCGTGTATCCGCTGACGCTGGCAGCACGGCTGAACTGGAAGGGCTCTGCATACATGGAGGAGCGCTGGGACAGGCTGTGGCCCTGCTGCCCAGGGAGAAGGTGGAACTTCCCCTGCAGAAAGGACAGGTCCCCAAACAGGTCGTCCTCCCCCCCGCCGCTGCCGATGTGGATGGTGTGGCGGAAGTCCCCCAGCGGAGGACTGATCATGTCCGAGGAGAGGATGTCCCGCAGCTTCTCCTTCTTCCCCTTCTTGCTCCGCCTCTTCAGATAGATGGGCGCCTTGGTGGACATGTCGGGAGCCCTCCCTGGGCAGCAGAGACTCAGCTCCTGCAACAACGTGAGGGGAGGTGGTGGGGAGAAGAGGCTGGGCAGAGCTCCTCTCTGAATCAGACACAGGGAGAAGGAACCAGGCTGGCTGGCTGGGCTAAACTATTAATAGTCAAATCAGGTCTGGTGATCAGGGAGGACTGCTACTTCTACAGTCAGCTTTACTGATGAATAGTCCCAAACAAAGTCCACATCACTCTCTTGGAATAGCGC